AATCTACGAATTTTCGTGACTTAACTAAAGTTCCCTCACCATATCTCTGCTAGAAGACTCTTTACTCCGCTCAAAAGACGACTATCGTAAACAGCGTGCTCGAAAACCTCTTTGAGCGAAGTTTCCTTATAATCCAAGTTCATCGACATTTTGACCAAACCCATCGGCGAGCTTCAGGGCACAGAACGAGAAAAAATCAAATCACCCGAATTTCTTTGAAAACTTGCTCATAGGGGTTATCTGACCCGCTGATTACGAAAATTACATTTGCTTAGCAGGAGAGCTTCCCATTTTAGGGTTACAGTGAGCAAAATTTGAGAAAACACGATTTTTCCAGAATTCACGAGCTCTTCTATCTTTTTTGAAAGAGAAACTCCGGTTCTTTTTTAGCGCTCGGTAATCTGCTGAAGCAGCGCAATCCAATAGTGCTTATTGGAGTCTTTTATGTTTGATGTGCGCTGCGTTGCGACCTTACGAATATGCGCGCGCAGAAAATTTTGAAAAAATTGGAAAGGGAATTTCAAGGACATGCTGTACAGCGAAAGATTCGCCTTGACGAGCTGAACACAATACTGCTTTCGGATTTTACCGATGTTCATTCTGAAGGAAGTTACGGCTAGTAGAATTTGGAACAGCGTGGTTTTCCAGAGTTTATCAGCTCTTCTATCTCTTTTGAAAAAGAGTCTTCGGCTGCTGTTTAGCGCAAAATAATCTACTGAAAGAGTACTATCGAATGGTGCCCGCCGCGGTCTCTCCTGTGTGATGCTCATTGCGTTACACCCACGCGAAAAGGCGTCCGCATGCAAATTAAAGATTATGGAAAACAGGATATTGGAGACAATTTGTACAGCAGAAGATTCGCCTTGACGAGCTGAATACAATGCTGTTTTCGGATTTTAAATACACTCATTCGGAAAGAAGTTATGGCGATATTCCGAAAATTCCGCGACATTCCGGGAATTTCGCGAACCTTCGCGGAATTCCGGGAATTCCGCGACATTCCCGGAATTTCGCGACATTCCGGGAATTTCGCGAACCTTCGCGGAATTCCGGGAATTCCGCGACATTCCCGGAATTTCGCGACATTCCGGGAATTCCGCGACATTCCGGGAATTTCGCGAACCTTCGCGGAATTCCGGGAATTCCGCGACATTCCCGGAATTTCGCGACATTCCGGGAATTTCGCGACATTCCGGGAATTTCGCGGAATTTTCGGAATATCGCCATAACTTCTTTCAGAATGCATATCTGGATCTGAAACAAGGGTTATACTCAGCTCATTAAGGCGAATCTTTTGGTACCTTGCCTTACCGTATTCTCGGGGCACATCGGTGCACGGTAGAAGATGAACTTTGCATCTTGGGAGAGGGGAGGTGGGTGTACGGCAGCAAGTGAATCCTTTTGCGACTTTTCTAAAATTCTAGGGGGAGGGGGAGGGTAGAGTAATCAGTGGTATTGAATGTGGTTAGTTCTAAAATATGCGAACATGCCGTGATGATGCCGTCGATGTTTTTCCCGCTCTTCTGTTTGTTTAGTAGCTTCAAGCACCTATTTATCACTAGAAGGGGTGGGTTCGAGTACAGGACACGAATACTGTATCCACCTTCCCTTCCCCAAGAAGCAGAATTTACCTCCTAAAGTGCACCAATCGTGACCCGGGAATTACGGTAAGGCAGGGTACCAAAAGATTCGCCTTAATGAGCTGAATATAATCCTTGTTTCAGATCCAGAATTTATGCATTCCGAAGGAAGTTATGGCGATATTCCGAAAATTCCGCGAAATTTTCGGAATTTCGCGAAATTCCGGGAATTCCGCGAAATTCCGGGAATTCTGCGAAATTCTCGGAATTTCGCGAATTTCCGAAAATTTCGCGGACCTTCGCGGAATTCCGGGAATTCCGCGACATTCCCGGAATTTCGCGACATTCCGGGAATTCCGCGACATTCCGGGAATTTCGCGAACCTTCGCGGAATTCCGGGAATTCCGCGACATTCCCGGAATTTCGCGACATTCCGGGAATTTCGCGAACCTTCGCGGAATTCCGGGAATTCCGCGACATTCCCGGAATTTCGCGACATTCCGGGAATTCCGCGACATTCCGGGAATTTCGCGAACCTTCGCGGAATTCCGGGAATTCCGCGACATTCCCGGAATTTCGCGACATTCCGGGAATTCCGCGACATTCCGGGAATTTCGCGAACCTTCGCGGAATTCCGGGAATTCCGCGACATTCCCGGAATTTCGCGACATTCCGGGAATTTCGCGACATTCCGGGAATTTCGCGGAATTTTCGGAATATCGCCATAACTTCTTTCAGAATGCATATCTGGATCTGAAACAAGGGTTATACTCAGCTCATTAAGGCGAATCTTTTGGTACCTTGCCTTACCGTATTCTCGGGGCACATCGGTGCACGGTAGAAGATGAACTTTGCATCTTGGGAGAGGGGAGGTGGGTGTACGGCAGCAAGTGAATCCTTTTGCGACTTTTCTAAAATTCTAGGGGGAGGGGGAGGGTAGAGTAATCAGTGGTATTGAATGTGGTTAGTTCTAAAATATGCGAACATGCCGTGATGATGCCGTCGATGTTTTTCCCGCTCTTCTGTTTGTTTAGTAGCTTCAAGCACCTATTTATCACTAGAAGGGGTGGGTTCGAGTACAGGACACGAATACTGTATCCACCTTCCCTTCCCCAAGAAGCAGAATTTACCTCCTAAAGTGCACCAATCGTGACCCGGGAATTACGGTAAGGCAGGGTACCAAAAGATTCGCCTTAATGAGCTGAATATAATCCTTGTTTCAGATCCAGAATTTATGCATTCCGAAGGAAGTTATGGCGATATTCCGAAAATTCCGCGAAATTTTCGGAATTTCGCGAAATTCCGGGAATTCCGCGAAATTCCGGGAATTCTGCGAAATTCTCGGAATTTCGCGAATTTCCGAAAATTTCGCGGACCTTCGCGGAATTCCGGGAATTCCGCGACATTCACGGAAATTTTGCACGTTCTGAGAGCGGTATTGTATATATCGTCCCCTCCAGCTCGTGCTACCCTTGTGGCGTCGCGGACGTGCCACGTGTGACTAACACATTGGCAACGTTGGCAGCAACACGTTGGCAACATGCAGCAACCTGTTGGCGTAGCCAAAATGTTCTGCCAACACGTTGTGGCATGTTGCAAACATGTTGTTTCCACGTTGCCAATATGTTAGCCACACGTGGCAGGTCTGAGACACAGACCAAGGATAGCACGAGCTGTGGAGGGGACGATACATGTTTCGCCCCTCGCATGTTCTACGCAAAGGATGCACTTTTGGCGCTCTGACAATTGCCATACATGCTGTACAAATTTATCTTGCTTCAAACTTCTGCTGCATTTGTCATCTACCGCATTTATCATCAGCCACTTACCATCTGCCTATATATTGTCTACTCTTACTCCTTAACGGTCGTTTGTGTTCGTATACTGCTGCCGAGACCACAGTTTTTCGTGCATTGATGATTTACGTATACGCTATATCTTAGAAAGAGTCGTGCTTATGTTCGTACTTTATACATACTTGGAGTTTTTGTCGTCATCGCAGGCATAAATGGAAATCATGAGGTACAGGGGTTTTCAGTCTGAGTGTCGCGACCGACATGGTTCAGGTCCTCGCGAGCCTCCTCGCTTGGGTCTCTCACGTGGTACACTACCGCACATCCGCTAGGGCCTTCGTTGTATCGGGTGCGCATTGTACCACATGAGAGATGTAAGCGAGGCGGCTCTCGGGGAACTGAACCACGTCCATCGCGACACTCAGATTGGAAACCCCTGTAGACGGGTCAAATTTCCAAGTTTGCTCAAGTTTTTGCCTAGAGGGGTTCTTTGCGAGTTAAGGCAGTGGCCTATTCTTTACTGTTTAAGGGGGGGGGTAAGAGTTGCCTTACTTGACTGCCTAATGGTATTATGTATTCAATCAGTTCAGAAAAGAATCACTTCGTGACACACGAAAATTATCAGAAAAGCTTATGAGCAATTAAAGGCAGTGGCTCGGCAAATCTCAACCTAGTAAAATTTGCGCTTACCTGGGGGTTTTTCAATACGCCGATCCCGAAAATCCACTTTTGAAAGCGTGAAAACGGCGAAAATAAGCGTTTTTTAATGCCATTCTCTTTGGAATGGGACGAGTGGGCAAAGTCGATGACGCTGAATCGTTGCCCCAATGGGTCACCCAAGCTGAGAAGGAATTGCCAACTCGTCCGGATGCGTGTAAGATTGGCCTGCGCGTAAGCATGCTGTGCAACCGGGATTGTACTGTTTTCATACTTGGGCGACAAGGAACCTACCGCGTCAAATGAGTTGGTGGATTTTGCTGATCCACTGCCTTTAAGCTGCTGACTGCCACGTGGCTCTTGCTGTGGATAGAGGTTTGGGTCAATTTATTCATACAAACAGCATCCCGAAAAATAACAACGAGCAATTAGAATTGAGCAAGCAATTGCATTACAAAAGCAGCAAAAATGAGATCATTAGTCTGCATTTTGTAGAAGATCCTTTGATGGTGCTATCGAACTGTTCCTCGTGTAGATTTTTCGGCTTAGACAGCCGGCAAAACCCAAAAAGTTTATTCTAATCTATCGTCTTGCTTTTAGATTGCGAGTGCTTTTGCTAATTCACGCAAACCCGCAACTATCCTCGAGAAATTGTAAAAGGGGCAAGTAGTAGTCCGCCAATCTCGCAGTGCTTCCCCACAGATAGTTATAGGAATTTGCGTAGAGCTCAAAGGCTCATTATCCTCCCAAAGAGGCATATATCCCTTGCTCTCTCCGTATTTATCCGCTTTCATCGTCATTTTTCGACAAAATCTGCCTTCGTTCGGACTTCTTTTCTGTGGATGGCTCATGGTTTAATCATACAGACTCAACGAATTCGTTGGAAATATCTCCTCTGATAGGATGAACTCTTTCTGTTAGTGTTTTATCCTAACGACATCTGATCCTTTCTGCTGCCATAGAAAGTCTACTACAATACTGATTCCGTCTGAGATTCAACTGTGGTCACGGAGGGGGTTGCTTGGCATTCTACGCTTGTATTCTGTACATTGTGTTCTTGCGCAGAGGTCATTGTGGCAATTATGTTACTCAAGTTGAGGATCTCATCGTCTCGTCTGGCTAACTTGTCATAGAGGATCCTTATAATGCGTCTGTCCGCTTCGGTCCTACACGTTGTTTGACAGAGGTTCACCTCTGCACTGTGTTGTCTGTTCGCTGTCTCTCTGACAAGGTCCTCGATTACTTTCATGTGTGAGTCCATTTCTTGCAGCATATCGTCGAACGCTTGCATGCTTGTTTTCGATGTGCCCGCCTGTTGTATCTGATGGCCAGGAAGGAAAGCATAGCACTTGTGAAGGAGTGAGAACCGTGTACATAGAGCTAAGTACCGTTCTTTGATCACTCTAGCAGTGAAGTGTAATGCGCTTGTGACAATGATCTGCTCATGTGGTTCTCCAGATGACAACATGCATAATTCACCTTTGAGGTAATCGTAGTCCTTCCTGATCGAATCTGCGGCGGCTACTTGTCTTAACATTGCTTCCTTGGTCAATCTGAGGTGTTTCTCCAAAGCACTCTTTGAATTGTCTTCCACAATGATGGCCAGGCACCTGATATCTTCGCTGAGACTTTCGAGTAGCATGCTGAAAGAACGCTCAATGAGTTTATTACGTATCCTGCTCGCAGAGTCGAAAAGCCACTTCGACCAAGTATTTTCCCATTGTAAATGGAAGATGACAAATGCACGTATAGGAAGCGGAAGTAATAAGGTTCAACTGAAGTGGACGCAGTTATGCAATTTCGTTCACGATTCATTATCGTGTGGAGCCTTTCTGCCTACGCACAAACTGTTTCCTTATTTTCGGCTCGAGAAAGAGACCGTTAACACAAGCTTCATATGATCGTTCATCTATAACTAGGGTTAACTAGTTATGATCTGCTTTTGGCCTTTACTTACATGGTTCTAGTAAGAATTAGCTAAAAAATAGCAATCCCAGAGAAAAGGAGCTGCGTTAAAAATTTTCTGGTTCGTTTATGCATTGTTTTGAAGAATTTCTAATCGGTCACAGAAAGCAAATATGCTGACTCATTCCTAACAAAATACACGGCAGCAGTTTTTTCCGCAGTAGAATCCGCAATTTTTTTAGTGGATCTGAGACTAACTAATTTAGGGGTATTTTGTAAGCATTATCACATTTCTTGATCACTGGATTTCATTTTCTTATAGAATTGAAATTTTTCAGCAGTTTCACTTGCAAAGATATTGGCAAAGATGGATATGGGATGCGCTGTGAACAGGGATCCGCAGTTGGGTGAAAATGCAGATAACCCAGTTTCTGTGATATGCTAGAAGTATGCCATTAAGAGGTCTAGTCCATTTCACCGATAGAAATGGAATTTCCGCCAATTAGCAGGATGTTATATTGATATCTGCTAATATTTTTTCCGCTCCTTATACAATTGCCTTCGAGAGAGTGTTCTCAATTGGAGCTTTGACAGCACACTTGTTTCTTACAAAATCCATCGCTTTGCTGTAGTTTCCCGATGAGATGCGAGGTTTATGGTATGCGAAAGCTACGAAGGCGCACGGCCGCGTTATGGAGCAAAGGTACATCGCGTTTGCCTGTGGTATATCCTGAGGGCCCTTTGCGTTGCGTCGCTCCTAGTTGCAGTCGCAGAGGAGCTAGCGCTACCAAGCGGAATGAGCCATTTTCCTCATCCTTCATAGATAAAGAGATCATAATGTGAATGATAAACGCATTTCAAATTAAGAGTATGAGGAAGGATTGTCTGCAAAGCAAGCCAAGAGAAAGTAAGAGATGAGGAAATTAATTTTTTTGAAGTCGTTGGAGGAGAATCTATCCTTTTTCTCTACTGATTCTCGTGTTCCACTTCTTTTGGACACTTTTAACTCATATCTAGCATTGCATCATCCCAGATTGTTTTTTGAATTTTCTAATTGCAGTCTTCTTTGTTTTCTTTATTGCATTTATACAGTTTGAACATACGTTGTAGTAGAGAATGGCAGGAGCAGGGAGCAGCGCTACTCCTGCGCAATTAAGGCGACGCAGCGCAAATGGCCCTCAGGATATAACGCAGGAAAAGGCGTAACTTTGCCCCATAACGCTTGCCCGCCAGCTGCGAAAGCGTTATCGATGAACAGAAAACTGAACTTAATTTCGCCAGCGGTAGTGAATTTATGGTAGTCGAGCAAATTTCAAAACTTAACCTACTCAAACATCTTCATGGATGGTGTTTTAGTCGTGTGTATAGCCTCAAATTTGTTACAATTACGCCTCTATTTTTGTAATGCTTGTGCTCTTTGCTGATTGCAAAGATCTTTATCTGGAGTAAAGACTCGCTTACAAACGTTTTCAGAAAATGTCCATTAATGAATAAAGAGTTTTTTCCTCTTACTTTCTTACTGACTGAAGTCTGTTCTTTATTCCTCACTCAGTTGATCGCAGTCGTTTACCGTTGCCGCATAGTCTCGCATCACTGGTGTATATCGATGTTTCAAAATTCATTGGCTCCCATTGCTTCTAAGCGTCCGCAACGGGTAATGACTATTCGTTAGACAACCTGACCACTGAAATTTTCAACTTTAGGGTGAAATAAGACTGTCCCCAATTTGTCGCAGTGACTCGGCGATAAGCGAAACTCAACTGTGTTCAAAGGTAAAAGCTCGAACGAGTGCGCTGAACTTTGTGCTAGAAGTTACCGTTCGAAGATCAAATAGGTAATAGCAACATAAGATGGAGATCGATCGTTGATTCAATGTTGTAAGAAGTGCGAGTCCACAACAGTGAGGTGCGGTGGCACTATATTTGTGCTTAGAAAAATCGTGCTTAGAGGCAGTGGATCGGCAAAACTCAACAAATCAAAATTTTGATACGGTAGACTCGTTATCGCCCAAGTATGAAAACAGTGCAATCCTGGTTGCACAGCATGCCTTCCTTGCCGAGAAAATTGCTCTCAAACTTACGCGCGCAGGCCATTCTTACACGCATCCGGACAAGTTAGCAATTTCCTTCTCACCAGTGGAGGCTGCCCGCCGCAATGCTATAACATAACCATTGGGTCCTGCAACTATTCGGCGTCATTAGTCTTGCCGCACTCGTCCAATTCCAAAGAGAAGGGCATTGAAAAACGTTCGTTTTCGGTGTTTTCAAGCTCTCAAAAGTGGATTTTCGGAATCAGCGTATTGAATAACCCCAGGTGAGCGAAAATTTGACTAGGATGAGATTTGCCGAGCCACTGCCTTCAAACTTGGAAACAGCTTTACCAACCCGTCTCAAATATCAGGCCTTTCCGGCCGATACACAAGTATAGGGAATATGGGCTTTTGCTTGTCAGCTGCCGATAATGTTGCTGTGTATTCCTGAAAGTCGAGTAATGCATTTATCTTGATGGTATCCACAACAATGCCATCGAACAATTAGGTTCAAACAAACAACTGGACTACAAACGCAACAACTGAGGACTATTATATGATACTCTGAGAAGTTATATGACGACATTCATCAAAATTTGAAAATAAATAAATAAATCACGTTCATTCTTCTGCACATTGGGCAGTTTATGTAGCTGGCAGGTTCCGGAGTCCATCTTAGTTCACCTCCTTTCGACCTGGAAGTCGCCTTTGACGGAACTTTATACCAAAAAAATCCAATCTCTAGTTGCTTTTGTCTGTTGCGGAACTTCTAAATGACGTTATATAACTCAAAACCGGACACGCAGGTGGAAGCAAAAATTCACTGAGATAAGCAATCATAGTATGACGCATAAGAATGACGCACTTGACAAGTGAAGTACATATGACGTCCGCTCCATGCACTTAGCCGAGCACTAGAGGTAGCTAACGACAATCCGTTGAAGAACATCGCTTCCCAACATCCGTGAACCCCTGCCGAAATCGAATTTTAGCACAGTTTCGACGGCAGTGATTACATGGGGACATTTGGGTACCGCACGGTACGGAAAGCAGGCTTACTCAACTATGAACACAGTGATCATATGGTGGTAACTTACATGCCCGGTTTTTTCCAGCCCTGTCATACATCGTAATATCTCACGGCCTTTCCTATTTTTATGCTCTTTGCCTCCTACTTCCAAGAATATGTTTTCGTAATCAGCATGCTCAAAATTTTCGGGGAATCTGCTACGGATCTTGCGAGCTTCAAGAGCCCAGAAATCCCAGCTCCCGCTTTGAATATGCTCTTTTATAAAAACGTTGTTTATTCGCGCAGGTTGTGCTGAAGAATAGTGTACTAAAATGTTTTGCTGCTGCTCTTTCGTACTATTTGGTTTCAACATGTTCATACAGGCATACTGCACGTTGAGGAAAAGCAGCAATCCATCTTCTTCTCTCTCTAGTCGACACAATGTTAGTGTTGATTGAAATGTTGAAGCAAGTATCGAGGTTGACGTAACTGGACAAACAATATCTACATGGCGGCAGTGGAGCAAAGACTTGCCCGACTCGCAAGCACTGGAGCTTCCACATTGGAAACTAGATAAGCTAAAGTGCAAAACATGGGCCGAGATTTGAAGGCAGCGTCCGAGCAAAAACGAAAGTGTAGAGCACAAGGGCGCCCGTCCCGGTAAGGCTCTTGCCCAATTGGCAATGCACCAATTAGCTTCTGAAGCAAGAAATCCGCTTCAGAAATGGCGACCGGAACGCCCTGGTGACCGGGGACGAGTTAATTCGATAAGCCAGAGTGTGCAGAGTGATCTAATAAAATACGGGTAAGCATAGGGAGCTCTCAGCAAGGGAGTTTTCTTCGTTCGAATCAGACTATTGAAGAATGGAAGTCAATATACTCAGAAACAACACTAAACCGTAAGTACGCAGTACTTTTCTTAATGACCAGTGCGAGCTTCTACAAAGCAGAACTGTCGTAATGGTGTCTTATAAAATCAAAAACTTTGCAAGAATTTCCTGCTATTGGCTGCCGCCACTCATTCAAATTCAGGCTTATGTTAGCTTGCAAGCATCTAAAAATTTTCCATAATGGCAGTCGAGCGATTTTTGAACCGCCACTTGTCTTTAGTAGTCGAGTTCGTATCCTCCTATTATCTCCTTTGCCTGAGAGATTGAAAGCTGCCTGTGGAAACAAGAGAGTATTTGTGTGCTTTTTTTAGTGACAGCAAAAAATCCAGCCGTATGACCGTCTCCCAAACTCAACCATTCTGCGTTTGTCAGTGATAGTGCTGCCTGTTTCATTTTTTGTACAACGATAACAAGCATTTATTTGATACTCACAAGCGAAAAGTTGGTGTGTCTCATTTTATATGTTGGTCAACTCTGTTCATATGGCATTATGTGTATTCAAAAATGTTGCCGATATTTAATCTTCAAAAAGCAAAAGAAGAAATCATCACCAATTAAAAAGCATGAAGTGAGGACAACCTGTCTATAATTCTCTTTCAAAGTATCAAACGACATGCTTCACTGCAAAATTTTAGCAACAGTTTCGATCTTTATTAGCTCCTTCAAAAACTATAGCTCAGGAACACAGCAAGCGAAGCTGGCATTCTTCTAATTTTTGACAGCTACTTCATAGAAATCCTAGAATTCAGCGTTCAAAACAACTGGAACGAACTCTTTGAAGCTCTACAGTCAAAAAAATGGAAAGCGTAGGTCGACCGCTCACATTTTTTGAAAAATAGACGCGAATGTATCGACATGTATGGACATGTACGGACATGTCCATACATGTTTGGACATGTCCATACATCAGCGTCGCGTGGCCATATCTCCCTCCAGAGTGGATGAATTCTGAATCCAAAGCCACCATTCGATTCAGCTTGGAGAATCTTCTTATATATTGGAAGTGGGGATACGACATCTTCGATATTCCGTTTCCAGTTTTTTCAATTTGTTCTGCGGAGGTTCTTTCGCGAATATGTGAAGCAACCCCTACCCAACATAGAAGACTTTAATGAGTACTATTCGAAAATATTGTTCTTGTAGATTATTGTGCGCAAAAAGATAGGCTCAGACTTCTTTCCAAAGGAGATAGAAGCGTTGGTGAATTTTGGAAAAATCACGCGTTTTTAAATTCTACTCGCCATAACTTCCTTCGGAATAAGTATATGTTGATTTTGAAAGCAGCGCCTTGCTCAGCTCATCAAGGCGAATCTTCCTGTATACAGCATGTCCTTGATATTTCGATTTCAGTATTCTTGAATCTTTCTGAGGACGTCTTTTCGCGAAGGTGTAAAGCAGCGAGCATTGTCCCGAGTACATTCCATCAAGAATCTTTCGATAGCACTTTTTCTGTAGATTATGATGTGCTAAATAGTAGCCGCAGGTCTTTTCAAAGGAAATAGAACGGCTGGTGAATCGTGAAAAAATCTTGTCGTCCCAAATTCTACTCGCCATAGCCGCAGGATACGAAACTATCTTGCTAAGCAGATGTGAGTTTCGAAATCAACAGTCGCATAACCTCTACGAGCAAGTTTTCCGATATTCGGGTTATTCCATTTTTTCTCGTTTTACGCTCCAGAAGCTCGCCGATGGATTTTGGTCAAAATGTTGATGCTCCTGAATTGTAAGAAAACTTCGCTTATAGAGGTTTTCGAACACGCTCTTTACGAAAATCGTGGTCTTTGAGGATTACAGGGTCTATTTGGAGAGATACGGTGAGGTGACTGTAACTTTATCACGAAAGTGCGTAATTTTGACCGCACTTCTCGCGTACCTATCAGAAACCTTGCCTGCTTGCTTTTCTCAGTCAGAGTTACTAGGAACTGTGCTATCGAATGATGCATTACTCAGGCTCCAGTCTGTGAAATTCGTGGAGTTACGAGCCTACGAAAACACGTCCTCATGAATTTCGCCCAAAATGTAAAGATCGCATATCTCGTCGAAATTCCTCCATTAGCGCTTGTATGACGCTTGTTGCAGATATCATGTTCGCTTCTTTGAACGACTCCCACTGTACTGAATATGGTGCTTGCGTCTGCTTCAACTGTTCAATTGAATATCAAAGCTATTTCGTGGCTAGAGCTCAAAGCACCAAATCTAACACAATAAGATCCATTAAAAATGTGGAAGGATTTCACCAGCGCGTTGTACAAGCGCTCACGGAGAGATTTCGACGAAATATGCGATCTTTACATTTTGGGCAAAATTCATGAGGACGTGTTTTCGTAGGCTCGTAACTCGGCGAATTTCATAGAATGGAGCCTGAGTAATGCACCGTTCGATAGCACAGTTCCTAGTAACTTTGACTGAGAAAAGCAAGCAGGCAAGGTTTCTGACGTGCGCGAGAAGTGCGGCCAAAATTACGCACTTTCGTGATGAAGTTACAGTCACCTCACCGTATCTCTCCAAATAGACCCTGTAATCCTCAAAGACCACGATTTTCGTAAAGAGCGTGTTCGAAAACCTCTATAAGCGAAGTTTTCTTACAATTCAGGAGCATCAACATTTTGACCAAAATCCATCGGCGAGCTTCTGGAGCGTAAAACGAGAAAAAATGGAATAACCCGAACATCGGAAAACTTGCTCGTAGAGGTTATGCGACCTGTTGATTTCGAAACTCACATCTGCTTAGCAAGATAGCTTCGTATCCTGCGGCTATGGCGAGTAGAATTTGGGATGACAAGATTTTTCCACGATTCACCAGTCGTTCTATTTCCTTTGAAAAGACCTGCGGCTACTATTTAGCACATCATAGTCTACAGAAAAAGTGCTATCGAAAGATTCTTGCTGGAATGTACTCGGGACAATGCTCGCTGCTTTACACCTTCGCGAAAAGACGTCCTCAGAAAGATTCAAGAATACTGAAATCGAAATATCAAGGACATGCTGTATACAGGAAGATTCGCCTTGATGAGCTGAGCAAGGCGCTGCTTTCAAAATCAACATATACTTATTCCGAAGGAAGTTATGGCGAGTAGAATTTAAAAACGCGTGATTTTTCCAAAATTCACCAACGCTTCTATCTCCTTTGGAAAGAAGTCTGAGCCTATTTTTTTGCGCACAATAATCTACAAGAACAGTATTTTCGAATAGTACTCATTAAAGTCTTCTATGTTGGGTAGGCGTTGCTTCAAATATTCGCGAAAGGACCTCCGCAGAACAAATTGAAAAAACTGGAAACGGAATATCGAAGACATTGTACCCTTACTTCCAATATATAAGAAGATTCTCCGAGCTGAATCGAATGGTGGCTTTGGATTCAGAATTCATCCACTCTGAAGGGAGATATGGCCACGCGACGCTGATGTATGGACATGTCCATACATGTATGGACATGTCCATAAATGTATGGACATGTCTTGTCCATACATGTCCATACATGCCCATACATTCGCGTCTATTTTTCAAAAAATGTGAGCGGTATTGTATAGGGTGTCCCAAAAAATGTGCACGCTTTTGATCGTTAATAACTCTCTTGCTTTGATGTCTTTAGCCGAACTTTGAGTACCGCTCTATAGACCGAACTTAGATTTATCGTATGGAAAGAAACATCGATCGCTTTACATTCCTGCAAGATTACGACAGGAATTTCGACAGTTTAGGCCAATGGAGGCCATATTCCGCCTCGGAACAAAAAAAGTTAAAAACTCTTATACTTCGATAATGCAAGCCGCTGATTTTGATTACCCATTCAATTTACTGTGAGCTTCTTTCCTAAGTTATCCCAGGTGTACCGTAATATTTGAAGTCCCTGCATTTGTCAGAAATGTGACTACACCATCAAAAAAGCTGAAAACACTCGTAAAAAGTCGTGTAGTGGAATCAGCCTGCGCGAAAAACCTAGTACACGATTTTTCAGATTTTTTTGAAAATTTTTTTTGTCAGATGGCATATTTCACAGTAGTTCCATATGCTGGAAATTCTTACCCAATCCTACAGTAATGAAGAGCGATCGGTTTTTCGCTCGGCGAATTACTAACGATCAAACAGTGCCCCCATTTTTTTGGGACACCCTGTAATTTGGTGCTAAGCGGCTTATCACATACCAGTGCGTCAGCACTGGCTCTTCTATCTAAATGCCATACTCATTCTCACATAACATGGCACTGAGACATACCGCGCAACGTCCGTCTTCACGAATGAATCGTAAACAACTACTCATTCCGAAAGCTTTTTCGTGTGGGATCGGTATTTGCGTGGATGAAACTTTGGAAGATGAAAAACAAATGCAAAAATTGAAAATTTCTGTTTTTAATGGCATGGTAGTCAGCATAAGGATAATATCCACTGTAAGCTACATCCCTGTGCAAAAATCTTCCCAAACGCTATGGTAAAAACCTGTCAAATTGACCATTTACGCAAATAATTCGTTTTGCCGCCGTTTTCGTAAAGTAATAGACTTTCACCACTTTTATGGGCTAAAGGTCATGGCTTGCACTTTCACTTGCCAAACATAAACACGACTTTGCAATAAGTGGTGATACGGCTCCAATACTGCGCGCCAGACGTTGAATGGATCCGTTAAGGTGCGATTTTTGAGGGATCTACTCAATGGATTTGCTCGTGCTTTGGCATGGTGAATCTGGATGGTGGAGTGCGTGTTGTGCAAAAAAACTGCGGCTTGAAACCTTGTCTGCGACTCGTTCTGTGAATTTCGTTACAGACAGACAGACACACACACGTCATGATAGTGTGTCGAGTGCATCAGCATCTTCGCTCCCGTGCCACTGCACCCCTTCCGCGAACATGATTGAAGCTGTCTGATCATTATCCCACGCTGGCTATGGGAGAATGATCAGACATGTTCGTGAAAGAATCGCAGAGTCCAGAAGAGCGGAAGCGGAGAACTAGTGCACCCGACACTGCAGCTGATAAGCCCTTTATGTAAATCTGTATTCCTCGTTCAAAGGCAGTGTCCAGGCAAGTCCGGACACATGGGAATCTTACGTGACAGTAATTTTGGGGCCCTAACTAAGCCACTGCCCAACGGGCAGCTCAGGTAGTGCTCTAAGCTGAGATATTCCCCTCGAAACTGGACCCCGCGATCGTATTTCGCGTGGATTCATGGCGCAGCGCGTGTTCTGAGGTAAAACTGCCATGAATCTATGCGAATACGATCGCGGGGTACATTTTCGAGGAGAATATCTCAACCGTTAGAGCACTACCTGCGCTGCCGCTTGAGCAGTGCCTTAGTTAGGGCCTTAAAAGTAATTTCCACGTAAAATCTCCATGGGTCCACATCTGCCTGGACGCTGCCTTTGATACTCATCCGGATTTTCTCTGCTCTATCACTATAACGAAAACGCAATTGGTTCTTTTTAGTTTTGGCATCAAACTCCGCATAGATCAAAAACGGTGCAATTCTTTCTACTATCTTGTAAAGCTATTGAATGGCATCTCAAACCTAACTATTAGGTTGGCTATAAATAAGTTCGGTCGCTTTTTCAGCCCTTACAAGTGCTGTAGACA